ACTCGCCCTGACGTCACGGTACACCTCACCCAATCAGGGCGCGGCGACCGCAGCGACGCTTGTGTTCGCTCTCGGGGCTAATAGGCTCCCTACGGGAGCCAGAGTTGTGCATTTATCTCCGTAGCGCCGTCTTTCCTGCACGGCATGTTGATCCCGCTCGTCACGTGACTGAATTTGGCGAATAGCGGCGCTGCACGTTCGAGGCGCGCGGCGCGCTCAAAAGCATGGAGAACGTACGCCGGGGCGCGTGCAACGTCTACTTTCCTGCACGGCACTTGATCCGGCTCCTCACGTGATCGCGCAAATCTGGCCCCCGTAGGGAGCCTATACAGGAACTCTATGCCCAACTGCATTGCCGGTTGCCTGTGCTGCTAACAGACAGAGTATACGCCTCGCAAGTGGGCTCATTTTCGTCTTCTGCGCATGAGAAAGGAAGTAGCGGTGACGTCAGAACGCCGAGCACTGATTGGCTGATCGCGACCCCCTATCTGAGCGTCGTCTGCTCCTTTGCAACGTCGTCTGCTCGCAACGTCGTCTGCATCTTACACCCTGTCTGCATCTATCTTACCTTTCCTGCAACTTTCGGAAGTGCAGGTCTTTATGAGCGAGCTCAACTTCGGTACGTTGTTTTTGTCTAACAACTAGCAGACGCGCATCAAGGAGGGAAGTAAAATGACTCACTGGCGAGGTGTCCCGAAGCGCCGAGGTTTGTTTGCTAAGAACCGAGAGGTGAGCGTGTTAGTGTCCGCAAGTTCCCTCCCAGATACTTGTTCGCTCCTTTCGTGTGCGACGAGACCCCTCATTCTTTAACGGCGTTGGCGGGTTGGCGCAGTTAACGTCGTCTGCTTCATGTCTGCTAGTCAAAGTGATGGCTGCTTTACCTTTCCTGCGTCTTTCGGAGATTCACCGCTTTTTCACCGGCGAGAGTCACCGTTGCCTCGGGAAACAAGGAGATAACAACAGGAAGAGATTGACCTCTTAATCTAAAACTGAGGTCAGCGATCAAAGTATAATACGGGAAGGGTTCACAAGGGACGCGCGGGCATATTCCATTCAGCACACCAGCCGGTCGTGGGCAGACAGACGGTCGCCGAGTCGCGGAGCGCCTGCTAGGCCTAACTGCCGTGCTCGCTTGGTCGCGTTCGGTGGAATCGTGGCTGTTGGAGCTTTTCCCGGGTGTTTGTGGATCCAGCGTTCTTGTTCGTCGTGGTCTGTTTCAAGTACTTTTTACTTTTTTCTTGCTGCTTGAAGTCGGGACGCGTGAGAAGTGCACGTAGAAAAATAAACGTCCGTGGGTCGTCGCGACCGCGACGCTGTCGGCCATGCTCATTGATCGCAAAAAGTGCGTAATACAGCTTCGGAGCTGTCGTAGGATTTCGTCGTAACCTGCGCGAAAGTTACGAAAATTTCGTTTCGTGAATACGAATTTGTTCTTAAGTTATGTCTTACGCACATTTCTGGCGTAAGATCGTCGCCTGCACTTCCGAAAGTCGCAGGAAAGGTAAGACAGACGCAGACGACGTTGCAAAGGAGCAGACGACGCTCAGATAGGGGGGCCGCGATCAGCCAATCAGGGCTCGGCGTTCTGACGTCACCGCTACCCCCTGCGCAAGGAGCAGACGAACTTGCCCTCCGCATAGATTAGCTTGGTTACGGAACTGCTCGTAAACGCTGCATGCACGAGCAGTACCCGCTTCACTCACCACGAATTGCCTTCCGTCGTTCGACGCGCCGGATGGCTGCTATGGTAACTGCAGGGATACATATGTTTCGAAGCTCAGCGTCTAGATAGCGTTCCACTGTGAAGTTGGGACTTACTTTTACGAAAAACGGTTGGAAAAAGGCACACGCCGATCCGAAACACCACGTTCAAACATGGTTTCTAAACCACTACATCACTAAACCACTAAACCGGGGACTCCGGGCGGGCGCATTTACGAAACACGGTTTGTAAACGAAAATCTAGATGCTGCTTTTCGTACGACGGGAGGCGGACTGAGGTGAATGAGGGGGGGGGGGGGTACTCCCTTATAAAATCATCTGGTGCGCTATGTTGGCTATACATATTGGTAAAATTAGTGCAAAGACAAGCGAGGAAGAATGTAGAGACAGGAAAAAAAACATTATTGTTAGTTGTTTATACAGCAGGAGCTTAGTCTGCCAGAACATGGTGACATTGTTACCCACTGTAGATGAGCAAGTGCAGTACGACTGCTAGACTGGGGTCTTTAAAGTGCACCACACAGTAGTGATTGGAGACAGGATAGAGTGCCACTTGCAACTGACGTTTAATACTGTGAGAGAAAGACAAAGAAGAGGTACTGACATTTAAAACAGAAAGACACACAAACAAAAACGAGAAATTTAGTTCTTTCTCCCTTGTCTTTGCACTAATTTCACCAAATTGTACCCCCTTCCGCGGGAGTTCCACAAGTGAGGTAATCGATAGGCAACCGGCAATGCAGTTTTGCACTTCACATTGCGCCATATCTAGCGGCTGCGAAATAAAGAAACTGGGTAGGCCAGGCCGGGATGGGTCGCGGGGACTGCGGGCAGGTGCATTTAGAAACCACGTTTGAACGTGGTGTTTCGGATCGGCGTGTGCCTTTTTCCAACCGTTTTTCGTAAAAGTAAGTCCCAACTTCACGTCTCTATGACCTCACCGGGTTCTTGTGACATCTCGCCTACCCTCCTAGAGTTCCCCCAAAAAATAAATGTCGCTACTGCTGCGTGAAAGAACCGCCACAGTCGCGAAGGTGACTCAAGCGTCAAACTTTACCACTTCCCTTCGAGATCTTGGGAAGCGACACGGCGACAGAACTGGATTACTGCAGTGCGACACATCGGGTAAGTGAATTTTACATTAAATGTTGAAGTGGACGAAAATAGATGTGGAGGCTTGGAAAGTGGTCCGATGAACTCGTTTTGCAGACTAGTTGGCAAAATAACATATTTATAGAAGTTGTTTTATGAGTCACTTGGACAGCCACATAGAGAAATATGGCAGGAACAATCGGGCCGATTGTTGCTTCGCTGTGTCGCCGAGAGTCAGGCGATCAGCTAGGTCTTCAAGCGAGAGGTCCGTCGGCCCGTTCCGGCATTCGTAGTTGTACGCATACAGAGCCATTCAACACGCGTGGTTGCAACCAAAACCTTCCGAAGTCGCAAAATTTCAAACAGTGGATTTTCGTAGCACAAAGTTTTGTTTGTTTCGCCAACCAAATTAATTGCTGAGTTCGGTAACAAATGTGACGGCGTGCAGAAAACAGGATGCAAAAGTTTTTCTTCGGAAAAAGCTCATGTGAAGTGTAAATATCCTCACACATACTTTGTTGCCTGTCACCTTTTTACAAAGCCTTGTGTACTGTTCTCTAGCATGCAAAGTTTGGTTCTAATTGCTCACATTTTATTCTAGTGTGTGGGGCGTCAGGAGAAGAAGAGGACGGGCGAGCTGTGGGCGGGGGCCAGCCGGCGAAGGAAGGGGAAGAGCGTGCTCCACGAGGCTGGGGCCGGGCAGGAACCATAGATCTGTTCTGGCTGGTCTGACCCATATGGCGAACCCCAGAGAATTCCACCAGCGAGGTTCGGATCAGGACCGGCGGAAGGCGGCGAGCCCCGACCATACCGGCCTAGTCCATGACGATTCCGGAGTAGTTCCGCAGCGAGACTTTGGCTGTGATATCCCGGAACAGCTAGGCTACGCAACTGGCGTGGGAAGGACGATCCGCAGGCCTGGACACGGGCTCCGACTGTGAGCTCTGACTGACGGGCGACAAGGGTCGGCGGGTCCGGACTGCCGGCTCTTAAAGGCGGGCAACCGGGATGTACAATAAACCCAATCGCTGCCTTCTCATTGTGTTGTGTCACTTCCTGGGAGACAAGCGAAGCACAGACCGATCGGGCGGCGACGTAGTGAAGACAACTCAAACTGGTGTCCAAATGACGACTCTACTATACTCCCCTTATGTTGTACCGCAGCGGAGGCTAGAAGCGGGAGCTCATAGCATTGGCAGGTGCCCTTACTGCACGAGAGCTTGTGCCGCTAAGATGTGCCCTAAAGCAAGAAGCTCGCGCTTGTAGGCTTTCCTGCGGTACATCATAAGGTGAAACAGAGTATAGAATATTCTCTAAAGACTTGGACCTATCAAGGCTCCCGATGGTCTTAAAAAACCGCATGAAAGAACCAGGGATATGGCACGCAGGTGCACACGGGACTGCTGAAATCGCGGTCGCCGCCGCTCGCAACGGCCCGACGGGCAGACTGGTGCACCCCATTAACAGAGACGCCTCCACTTGTGGCGCTGAATGCAGTACTATTGTGGCGCTGCCTGGCCATTGCCGGCTGGCTATAGTCGGTGACAGGAAGTGGAAAGAGGTGGGAGGAGCTTCCACTTCATTCTTGACCTGTCACCGCGACCCTAGAGCGAACGCTGGAGAGGAGGCGGCCTCCACTCCAGCGTTCGCTCTGCTGAAGTGGAAAGAGGTGGGAGGAGCTTCCACTTCATTCATGACCTGTCACCGCGACCCTAGAGCGAACGCTGGAGAGGAGGAGGCCTCCACTCCAGCGTTCGCTCTGCTGAAGTGGAAAAAGGTGGGAGGAGCTTCCACTTCGTTCTTGACCTGTCACCGCGACGCTAGAGCGAACGCTGGAGAGGAGGCGGCCTCCACTCCAGCGTTCGCTCTGCTGAAGTGGGATGAGGTGGGAGGAGCTTCCACTTCATTCTTGACCTGTCACCGACTGGGAGCAGCCGGTTGAAAATAGGTCCCCCGTTGCTGAACTCAACGAGGTCTTTATAAGTAAATATAAATTTAAAAGATTAAGGTTTACTGACTTTCTCTAAAATTTTACTAAATATATATATATATATATATATATATATATATATATATATATATATATATATATATATATATATATATATATATATATATATATATATATATATATATATATATATATATATATATCAAATAAGTACGGTTTACGTCAAACGTGCCAACATTTTTAAAAACAAAAATAACAGCAAAATATCATTTTGCTAGGTGGTGCATGTTACCGCCTGATTAAAAGGAAATGGCCGCCATGCATCCATCTACCCGTCCAGCCGGGGGTACCGGATACGCCGGATACCGTAGCACCGTGGGGGGGCGTCGGGTGTGTGTGGCTGGGTTGACTGGCAGTACCGACGGTACCGTTGTACGTTTCGATGAACAATTCAATGTGGTGGTCTCATTCGCTTCTCGAAGAATTCCGTGAAGATAGAATTGTTATTCAATAACGGAGGCATGGTATGTACACCCTTTTCCAGCTCCCCACCCCGATCGCGAGTCGCAGTGTTGTGTGCGTGTTTCTGTTTCGATTCTCCAATGACATCGTACTCGCTCAGTGTTATATATCTGGAATTTAGGCCTAAGGGCATTGCTTTCTTTTGTTTCCTTTTTTTTCTCGGGTTTGTTTTGCTGCAGTTATCGCACGTATATCGGCCAACGCCGAAATAGATGTGAAACGTGGAGTAGCTGCGCGTGGGCCGGCGTTGGGCAAAGGCGGTAGGTCCGAGCGGAACCTTTCCTGCGACCAACACGAGCGGGTGTACGTTCAGTTTGCTTTACAGAGCGTCGGCGGCCGTTTTGGGACACCGGTTCGGTTCACTGCGCTTGGCTGTCGTGGCGAGCGATCGTCGCTCTTGTTTTTCAATTTTCCTTCAGTGGCGATCGGCGGTCTTCAGATGGTCGTGTTCGCGTCACGAAGCAGAGTACGCGCTCCCCGAACAAATGAGTCGAGCGCGTGCACTGTTTACGACTAGATCATCCTCTGGACGCTTGCTAGGTTGCATCTTTCCTGGCAGCGATACACGCCGAGGATTTTTTTTTTTCCCCAATCTTTTCGCAATCTTGGATCCGGTTGGGGCCGTGGCGAGGCTGTGGCGAAAGTGTATACACCTCGAGTGTGTGTGGGACCTGTGTGGCAGTGTGTGCAACATACCACCCCGCAGGTTGGCGTGGACGGACTAGCATCTGGGGTGTCATGGCCCAGGCAGACTGACGGTGAGTACTGCGCCGCGTACCGACAACTTAGAAGCGGAACTTATAAGCAGAAAAGAAAAAGCATAAAAAGTCCTTTCAACATTCGAGCTGTTATCCCGTTCTAGCTGTTTTTGATTATAGATTGAGTGATTGCAGAGTCAGGTGCGTTCTGGATGTACTTGTTGCGTTGCATCGTGTGCAAACGGTGCACCACAAGACTATTAGGTAGTGACTGGAGCATATGTTCCTCTAGGTCCTGTTGTTTGAATAGAATTAACTCTTAACGAGTTTGTGTACCTCGGCACCTTAGTCTGTGGAAAAGAATAAAACACCTATGGTTTTCATTTAGCCAATTAGCCTAGCATTATTAGCCTGACATTGTTGGGGCCTTGATGGTGAGTACACATTGACAGGAAGGGTCTATTGTTTGGTTCCATCTTCACAGCGTGTCATTTGTGGAGCAACTACAGTACAACAGATAAAACTGATACACCTGTTACATAACTTGTTTATAATGTCATTGGTTGCAGTGATTGTGTGTTACACAGAAAATGTTGAATTCTCGGCCGTGGCATTAGTACTCTGCCAAGTGGACTTTGTATAGTACTTTCTAAAGTCCGCCGTAGTGTAGAAAGGGTTGCCACTACTGCAGACCCAGTGACACTAACTTGAGCCCTTAATAGGCTCGATGGAGATTGACTCAATGGTGAATATGTTGCATGATCAATACCTATTGATGGTAAGTGGTTCTACTGACTAGCTTTCCTTTCAAAGTTGCTTCCAGCTATCAGTAGCTCTTTCAGACAAAGAAAGCTTTGTGCTGATCACCATACTTTTTAACAGGACTGCCAGCATATGATAGTTAAGTTATTTCATGTTTGTTGCAAATTTCGACGCCTCAGGCGTCCTGGAGGTGTGCACGGGTCCAGACGCTAGAGGCTGTATCACAGGCGGCATTTTATGACTGCAGCTGTTCTAGTTGTTGCTGCAGTATTGATGTATTTTGCCATCCAGGCATTACGCACTTTGGATCAGCTTGGCTGACAGAGTGCCGACAACCAGTGTCTGCCAACATGCCTCAGTTCAGAGGGGTTAGTGAGTGCATTTTCATTTTTATGAGCATGAGCCATGGAAAATGTGTGAGAGTGTGAAACGTTTCTGAAACGGTAAAAACTGTGATCTCATCAGTGCACTCTGCCACATGATTGGTCCAAGTGATTTTGTTCTTGGTCTAACTGGCGTTGCACTTCGCTTGAGGATAAGAAGGAAAGGAGGAGGGGGTTGTAACTAGAGGGAAAGAAAAGTAAAAAAATGGAAGGGAAGATTTGAGGGAGAAGATAACCCGGAAAACCCATTTTGAGGTTCGTGAAGAAAAACAACAAACAAGCAACATTGTTTTCCTTTTCACTTCCCTTGCTTCCCGAAAGCGCACACGGCAGTGTGGGCTCTCGTGACGGGCTTTCGGAATGCATCACACTCGTGTGACTGTTGCTAGCCCTGGCGACCTACTCGGGAGTCTGGTCTCTTCACAGTCATTGCGACCTTAAGTATTTTGTCACTCCCATTTTCAATTTCGATATTGAGCCGTTGTGTCAAGCGTTGGGAGTTTTGGGCTTGACTTGCATTAGACTTGTGCACTTGCTGCACAAGGATTCGTGCAGCAGAGATGCGATGAAACGCAGCGAGCTCGCACTTGTATCAGCACCTCCCAAGGCTTTGGCCTCTCACCTGTAGTACCCAAGGGAGAACTGCCATGCACTGCTGGTGACGCTTAGTTCAGATCTCATCTTCATGGCTTTGGTGGCGTGGCCTCAGAAATAGTCTTGCATGTGACAAGAAAGTTTTATTTATAAATCTAGAACCTAGCCAGTGCTCTCCACAGCATGCGGGGCTTGCGAGTTTCGTAGCCAGTGGCGTACCAATTTGTTTTTGAGTGGGGGAGCAAACCAGACCCCCCCCAGGGCGGGGGGCGCAGTGCCCTTGGTATCCCTTGGGCGCCGCCGGCCAGTGTTTGCCCTGCCCAGTATATCGTGCCAAGTAGGCACCAATCAAGAGGACACTTTGCTTCAGAACGCTTATGTGTCGGCCGCGAGCCTCCGTCAACTTTATTTCCTCGTCTTCGCTTGCCCTACACAAGCACGGGAGCATGTGCTCGTGAGCTCACGAGCAGGAGCACGTGCACCCGTCGGCGGACGGACATACGGACATGGCTAGCCCCTAAGGAGCTTCGCCCCTAATATATACAGTAAGTTGTACATAAAGTATATACAACTATACACACTGTAATGTCATTTGCATATTTCACATCACTCGCAAACTTGATTGAACTTCTCATCATATGTTAACCGCTTCGGCACACGAATTGCACAAGTAGACTGACGAGGTACGATCAGAGGTAGAATTCTCTGTTGACAAGCTTGATTTTCATTGGCCAGCTGGATTGTACTAGGGCTTGATACGTCTTGACTGGAGTCAGAGACCGTTGGTGCTTGTGTTGCAGGGTTTTGTATATCTTCGTCTCCACTGTCATATGCTTCGGACCCTACCTCATGGTAAGAATCGAATGTCTCCGATGACTTCAGTAGATGTTGCCGGTTCCGCCGTTTGCGTGTACCCTTCTTAGTTTGTATCTTGTATGACCTTGGGCCCTTGTCACAGATCACTTGTGCTTTCATTGACCATCCTTTATCTTTATCATCTCAAACTCGTACAGTCTCTCCTCCTTCTAACTGGGACAGCGCTCGGCCTTGTTTCATGTCTTGTTTGTGTTTTAACACTGGCCTAGCTGGTAGAGACACAAAACCTGGCAGGAGTGTATGCGCTTTCCTTCTCATCAATAGCTCTACTGGAGCTGATCCGCATTCTAGTGGTGTGGTCCTGTAGGTTAGCACCCTAACCAGAAGTCTTGGCCCGAATGTGCACACATACTTTTTGAGCAGTCGTTTCACAACTTGCACGCCTTTCTCTGCAAGTCCATTCGACCTTGGAAAGCGTGGACTAGACACCACATGTTTGAAGTCATATTTTGCTGCGAACTCGGTAAACTCTCCGGCTGTGAACTGTGGCCCGCCGTCTGTACAAAACTCGAGAGGAAGTCCATGACGAGAAAACATACCTGCCATGACATCGATTACAGTTTTTGTGCTCGTGTCTTGTAGTTCGGCGACCTCGGGTAAGTTTGAGTAAGCATCGTAGAGAACGAGGTATGATTTCCTAGCATACATGCACAAGTCTGCACCAATTCGTGCCCAAGGTTGTAGTGGCGTCTCTCGTAACTGGAGAGGCTTTTCCTGCTGGCGATAGGCATATTGTTTGCAGGTTCCACATCGGTCAATCATTGCTGTGATGTCTGTGTTCATTCTGGGCCAAAACATCTGGCCCGTGCTTTGCACTTGTTGATACCAAGGTGGCCACTGTGCAAGCGTCTCAGCATCTCTGGTCTGAGGGCCAGGGGGATAACAACTTTAGCTTCCTCCATCAAGACACCGTTTACAACAGACAGCTCGTCTTTGAAAGGTTTAAACTCGCCTTGAAGTAGAGTGTTATTGGTCAGGTTGTTGACAACTTCATGAAGTTCTTTGTCTTCTGCTGTGGCTGTAAGGGAGCAGGGCCATAGTTTTGTCACTGACGAGCATAGACAGGATGGTTGCTGCATGAAGGTCCACATCATCGCTGGAATCTTCTCTTGTCGTCGGTGTCTGCAGTCGAGACAATGCATCAGCAAGAACCAGCGCTTTTCCAGGCAGGAACTCTAGCTCCAAGTCGTATCGCATTAACTTGAAAAAGGCGTTGTAAGTAGGGATGCCGCGAACCACCCTAAATTCGAATTCGAAAGGTTTTGATATTTTCGAACCGAACTGATGTTCGAATTTGAAAGGTTTCTATATTTTCGACCGTACGGAGGTTCGAATTCGAAAAATTTTCAACTTTCCAAAATTGTGGGGTTTCGAATTCAAAAAGTTCAAAGCTTTCATGGTTTCTAAAAGTTTGGGTTCAATTATTTAGAATATTTGTTTACTTAAGGTTCGGTAAATTCGAAGATTTCGAACTTCCCTAATTTGAAATTCGAGAGATTCTAATGTTTCGAATTTCTTTGGATCTAAAACTTAAAAAATTCGAACGTTTCGAATTCTTTAAGACATAAAGTTAGATAAATTAGAATATTTCGAATTTCTTTCTACATAAAGTTAGAAGGTTTAGATTCTCTTTTAAAGATAAATTCGAAAAAAAAAAAAAATTCCAAAGGTTTCCAATTTTTTTTTAAGTCCAAGTGCGCAAAGTTCGAAGTCTGGTTTTCATGTTCCGCCACAGTTTCAGTTTCAAATAACGTTTTCACGCCTCACTGGTTTTCATGAAATCAGGTTTAGAAAAGTTCGGGTGTGATATTTAAACTGCGCGAAGTTGGTCAGGCAATTAAATGAGACGACGAGTGTCCCGCATGTGCTGGAATATTTGCCAGCGCAGAGTGACGTGTGACAATGGATTAGTAATTGTGACTGCCAGCCCGGGGTGGTCATTAACGTGCATCACGAAGTAGTGATCCTACGAACACACTGTTTAATGATACTCATCCGGTTCGAAACGGCCAGGGGCAGGCAGGTGGTTGAGGCTCAGAAAAACCTTGAAGTGATCTGGCAAACTGCCCCCCTACCCCCCCCTTGCTTGGTGGTAGTAGTCCGATCAAACGCCGCCCAAGTGATGCTGGCATATAGCAAGTTTAGTTTGTACATGATGCAAAACCCTGAGACTGGGAATGAAATTTGAAAGAAAAAGTGTAAGAAGAAAGAAAGAAGGGGACAGAACAACACCTCAAACTCAGCTCTGGGAATTTAAATTTGAAAGAAAAAAATGTAAGACAGAAAAAAAGGGGACAGGACGTCTCAAACTCAGCTCAGGACGTCTCTAACTCAACTCAGCTGAGTTTGAGACGTTGTCCTGTCCCCTTTTTTCTTTCTTCTTACACTATTTCTTGCGAATTTCATTCCCAGTCTCAGGATTTTGCATCATGATCAACATACACC